AATTTATTGCCATTAGTAGATTCAGTATCAGTAAAGGACAGCTTGATTGATGGATCTAAGAGTGATGATACTTGGTATATATCTGAAGGAAGTATGAAAAACGCTGCTGCAAGCTGCTTAACATCCGTTAACACAAAGCATTAATAGCTGCTTGACTTCTGTCGATACATTCAGAGCATTCTGCAAAGAATCAATCACAGGTATCACATGACTAGAAGTTGGTGTTTTCACACTGAAGAATATCAGTAGCTTGAGAAAAATACGACATCACTTTCACTACAGAAGAAAGATTTTCTTTGTCTGATCTAGAGAAAGTCAAATTGGGCCACTTGAATTTCTCTAATGCTTCATTGATGTTATCCATATTTTTGAGGATTTGTTCCTCATGTTGTCTTAAGTGAGAGCTCCATCTAGTATCGTTAGCTACTGGAATCTTAGACAAATTATATGCTAAGTGGCTTGACTTGTGAGAGAGAGAACAGACACTTTTTGCTTTGCTATAAATGCTGCCTTTACTCTTCGATATGAGGTAAGTTCAGTATAGCCATCGTGGACTACCAGCTGGAGTTGGTGAGCTGTGCACCCTAACCACCCATCATACTTTAATTCATAAGGTGTGCATTCTTCTAGATCTTCATTATCAATTTCAATGTCATCATCATCATCATCGTCATCGTCGTCATCAATCTCTTGAGTAGCTATTTCGTGAGATGTTAGAAACGCACACTTCATATGGGCAGCGTTGTCGGTAATAATTTGGAAACAACTGTTTTCATAACGATCAAGCAGATCTTCAAAAAGAAACTATATTGTCACTTGTATGTGGAGATGGAACTTCTTTAAAACAAAGAAGAGTGTGCTTGAGCTGCTTGTCACATACATAGTATATAATAAAACCCATAAAACTTTGGCTATCCCTTCCCGTCCAAAAGTCTAAAGTAACAGAGGGTTGTAGTCCATGTTTAGCTATAGCCGCAAGTTCTTTCAAAAAGTGAGATCTTGTTTGAGTTGCTAATGCACTTATTTTAGTGTTGACAGATCTTCTAGACGCATTTTTAAATCGAGGTTCCACATCTTTCATGAAATCCCTAAACCATGGCTTCACCACTATTGTGACTGGCATCCAACCATGCCCACAGAGATTCTTCACAATTGAAGTTAAAATAACCTCCTGATTTTTGAAATCCGGTTGCTTTCTCTGGTATGTGCCATCTTCTTGAAATCTAGATTGGACTGAACTGGTTGACTGACATCTCCGGGTACAATGCTCTTCAAGCAGCTGACCATGCATTTTTTGAGATGTTGTAAAAGATTCCTCTTGGAATTAAGTGTGTATTTTCTATATCCTTGGCAGATTTTACATTTAGCTATACTGTCTTTGTTTGTAGAAGGCTGCTGTGGAATTGTAAAGAATTCTTCGTATTCTATTCTCTCATCTGCCATTATGCCATGTGGACACAGAAATTTTGTACAATTGTATTATTAGAATGTTTATGGCATAATACACGAAAATATCTAAAAATAAATGAGAATATTCTAGGTTGCTCTCCAATATCTACCACTATCTACTTTAGCCTAAGATTTTGTGTAGATACTCGTGTATCGTGTATACAAGTGCGATGTCTGCTCAAAAGAGTGTGAAGGTAGCAACTGAATTAAACTCAATATATTCACAATAATCCGTTTACATGGAAGGTTTACTGAAAAATACTAAGTAAATATGTCTTTATAGAACATTGAAACTTACCTAACTCATGACATATGACCATTTCTGCATTATTCCAGTCGAGTCGTAACCATCTCAAACTGGAAGAGATTTGTCTGCATGGAAGTGGGCGTAACTGAACAATGGCTGGCTATAATGAGGCAGTTTAAAAGGCATATATCTTCCTTGAAACTACTTAAATAGTAATGATTACTAATTATATTTGCTACTTTATTGAACTTTTTATGCTTTATCAAATAAACAATTAAAAATCCTCTTGTTTAGAATTGTATCTACAGAAATTGTAAAAATGGAGTTGCTGTGGCCACCAAAGAACCTGGCATTTCATGGAAATAGGAGTCCAAGCAGTGTCAGTTGTATTGTATATTGATTCTGTGATTGGTTATAATGCTTGAAATATTATTATATTGTCACTTTTATTTCTAAGATGAAAGTGTATTGTAGCTGAATAAAACTGCCCATTATTAGAGTCTTGGTTTTGTATGCATGGAACCCCAAATAAATGATGTGAAGGAAAATGTTACTTGTGCTTAGGTCTATTTACATGTAATTGTGCTATTTCTGTTATACATAATGAAAATTCATGTAAAAAATTTACTGTTAATTTTTTTTGTTTACAATCTACAAGTAAATAAAAAAACATTAAAAATGGAAAAGCAGTAGGATTAAATTGGAAAAAAGTAAAGGAACAAGAGGATACTTGCAAACTGGTGATGTAAGAAATCCTACACCACTGCATGAAGAATATTACCCAAAAGCATTG